GAATTCTGTAAATTGTAGATAACTGATAGCACTGCAAATGGCTCTTGTCTGTTAGCATGCAAGACAATCCTGTCTGATGGAGAGACATTTCATTTCTCCTCCCTAACCCCACCTGCCTGCCCCATCCCTATGAAAAAGAGTTGGTTTTGCTTCTGTCTATAAAATCATTTCATGGCCTCTATCTCTGCTCTTTGATTTATTTTTTGCACTGGTTGTTAATATCTAACTGGTTACCTCATAAATTCATGAGTTAAATAAAATCTTTGACATGTATTGATCTTATGTTTTTTATGAGTCAGGATTTGGCCTTTTTATAAATGCACATTTTAACAATAGGAAAAGAAAAAGATGATAAATTAGAGATGATCAAAGCTGTCTCTAAGAGTTACGCATGTTCCAGTGTATCATTAAACACCACGGAGTTCTGGGTGTCTCTAGTTATTAAGTTCAGCAATTCCCCAAGTATATATGGAGGTTAGAGACTAAGCAGGCACATCAGCCCCCTGTTGATCCTAAGGATGTTCTGGGTGTTAAGGTGAGGACCAAACCAAGCAAAGTCCAACAGAGCAGCATCTCTCCTACTGGATAGTCACCCAATAAGGGTCTAGATGAAGGGGAAACCCCATCCAGTAAAAATAATAGCATAAAACCTCAATGTGGCAAGGAGAGGCACAGTATGGGAGTCAAATCTTGTACCTGAGCCCTGAGCGTGTCAGCAATGCCCCCTCACAGTGGGTTCTTTTCCACGTCTCCCCAGACGGCAAATATTGGTCTCTTCTTCTGGAAAGTCCTCTTTTCTCTCCTCTCTCATCCTCTAATCTCCTTTTTAGACTAGGACATGACTTCCTCCCTCAAATGTTTTACTTTCCTTCTTGCTTTTTCAAGCACTTTTTTCCCTCCCTTCTAGCTGCTATGCAAAAATCCTCTCCACTAGTTCTTTCTTAATTGACTCTGATGGTCCATTAGAACCAATTCAGCAAATAACTATTTATCTTTGCTCTACAGCAAGAAGGGTTTAATCCTGAAACTCTGAGTGAGTTGATATTTGTGTGTTTGGGGATGGTGGTAGTGAGATACTTAAATTCTAAAAGGTGGAAGAAGTTCATTTTTCCTATTAGAAAAAATCTGAATTAACTTAACTTACACTTCCACAAGGGTAATGGCAATGAATATGGGGAAAATAAGGTGGATTAAGAAGGTGTTGTGTAGGTAGAATATTCATAAATTGGCATTTTATGGAATATAGAGGATGAAACTTAAGAATTGTTATAAAAGGTATTCCATAAGTCAAGGGTGGTCCATTGGTAATGATGTTAACAGTTATGGGGAATTCAGGTCAAGGAATTGGTTTGGGAGGTTGTTGGGGGGATTATGATGTGACTTTTCTCAATATAAAGGGCAATTATAGTTGTAATAGTCATTACAGAAAAATTCAGCAAAGTGACTAGGCCTTGGAGAATGAATAGTGTAGTGTAAAAGTAATTCCTGTCTATACTACAGATAAATCATATGGTTTGGGTACTTATTTTGTCTTTTTTACCTAATTCTAGAGTAGAAACTTTTCCATGACCTCATAGAACTTTTCTATTATTTTATCCCTGGATTTGAAGAAGAAATACAACAACAAAAACTGTCTGTTCTTATACTTACTATGTTTGGAATGCAATTATGGGATATTCCCTATTTTTAAAAAGCTTCCCCATATAGCAAAATATGATTATGATCTTCTGTTCATCTCTGAAAACTATAATACCATCATTAATCTTTATCAACTGAGTCCATGGATTTTACATCTCTGCAAGATCAGTCAGCAATTCAAGAAGATTTTTTTTTTTTTTTTTTTTGCGGTACGCGGGCCTCTCACTGCTGTGGCCTCTCCCGCTGCGGAGCACAGGCTCCGGACGCGCAGGCTCAGCGGCCATGGCTCATGGGCCCAGCCGCTCCTCGGCATGTGGGATCCTCCTGGACAGGGGTACGAACCCGTGTCCCCTGCATCGGCAGACGGACTCTCAACCACTGCGCCACCAGGGAAGCCCTCAAGAAGATTTTTATCAGTGGCAACTAAAATCTGGAATGGAATAAGTCATATTTCATTTACTTTATCAGACTAAGTTCATATTTTACTATTTTGATTCAGATATTGAAAAGAGACAAGACCTCATGATTTCTAAGTAATTTTTCTATATACGTGGTTTTGTTTTTTTGTTGTTGTTATTGTTGTTGCTGTTTCTTTCCATCTGGCCAGAAAAGGGTGTTCAGAGTCCTAAATTTTCCAATACCTCCAAAAATAAATAAGTTAAAAAAAAATCAAGCCCATTTAAAAGCCTAATTCTATGTAGTTTAATGTGTAAAAAATGTTTCAAAGTCAAACATTCTTTATTTCCCCATTTTCTGTAATTATTTTGTACACAATACAACTTCATTTGTAAAAGAGAGGTATTACATTTTTTGAGAAAATGGATTGTATTCTGAGCCTTGGCAAATCTATGGAAATCAACAGTCAAATGAATAATATGAATCCTAGTTTCAGGACTTGCTTTAGGCAAAATATGTCATATAGACAATCTTTTCTTGCCTCCCTGGAGACCAGGGTGAGAATCTGACAGAGCAGAAACCAGAAAACACATTACCCTCAAACTGAAATATTGTTTAGGCCCCAGACATTTCCTATTCAGTTTAAGAAAACTAAGACCCACATACCACATGACAGTTAGTTCCTTTCAAATAAATTTGTTTTTGTACAGATCCAGGGATGAAAAAAAAGATTAATCTTCAAGTAAAATACCAAGAAAAAGCATAAGTGTGTTTTTTTCTACCTGTTCTAATGAATTAAACATGCTTTTTTGAGGTAAAACAAAGGCTTAACTGCTTTTGAATGTCCTAGAGCTAGTATAGTGACGTACACTCAACTTGTTTTTCATAGAACTGATTTACTACAGTCCTTCAGCATGACCAAGAGCCCACTCCAAACTAAATCATTTCACTACTGTCAAAACTAGAATTTACCAAACAGTACTTAAAATGCAACACAGTATTCAAAATGAATCCTTAATGAGTTATTATACTTTTTTTTTTAACAAAACTTTGTACACTGAGGCAAAGTACTGAGGATCTATTAGAGGTGTTACATGCAATTAATCATAAAGATTTTTTTCTGGGAAAATAAATCTATGTAGGCTTTTAAATTACAGTAATAGGAGTCTTTTTATCATATGCATGGTAATTAAAATTTATAAGTAGAACACACAAATCTTTTATACACTAAATCTATCTACTTCACATGTAGCTACACAGGTCAATGCCTTCTAAATTTTTATGCTGGCAAATTTTCACTAACCCTGCTGAATTCCCTCCCTTATGCAAAATAATTTTTTATACTCCAGGGACAACTACTGTAGTGTATCAGAGGAATTCCTGACCTCCAAATCAAACTTAGGTTAAGCATGGGGTTTAAATTATCTGCAATTATTTAATATGGTCTGACATTATCAAAATGGTTTAAGGAACATATTTTAATCTACAATTTATCTCCCTTTTTGAAAAAGCTCTTCTGGTTACTCAGGCAAATAAAAACGTCTAATTTACTTAAGAAATGATTATCTCTTAGGGATAAGATTTGTAAATACAAACATTTTGAGATTACAGAAATTGTAGATATTTGTTTGTGAGAGAGGATTGTTGGGAGAATAGAAAAAGCATGAACTTTGGTTTGAGAACACTATTCAAATTTGAGTTCTGTCATTACTGGCAATTGATCTCCCTGAGTCTCAATGTTCTCATCTGTCAAATGGGACAATAATATAGACTTTGCAGATTTGATAGGCTTAAAAGAGCTGAGCAGTAAAGGAACAAGCACATGCTATTCAATGAATAATGATTCCTGTTTTGTCAATACCTATACCAGGAAAATTTGACAAGAAATTACTTGGATCCGCATACTTTTATTGGAGAGAAAGATTTCTTCTGGTTTCTGACTTAAATTCTTGGGAATACAATAATTTATCAGTAGGGCTGGGAACATTCTTTGTTTGTTTCATTATTTTTGTTTAGACAAACTCCAATTACAAAATTCTGATGCATTCAAGTCCAGTCATCTTGTATTGCCTGACACTGGCCGGCATGGCCGAAGACAAATCCGCTTACCAAATAAATAATTCTAAGCAAATGAACCTGGCTGTGAGTCAACAGTCATCAGTTACTATAACAGCAAAAGCTAGAATTATAAGCTCACCTCTCACAACTCCCTACAACTATGGGTAGTAAAAAAAAGTCAAACAACCCTATGATTTGACATGCCAGAATTAATATACATAACCACATATCCCCAACTTCTCTGACATAAACAGTCACTAAGTTTAGTTGAGTTATAATTAGAGAGGCGTAGTGGTTAGCAGAGAAATCATTGTGCCAAAAGGCCAAAGACTGGGTTTTCAACCCATCCTCCAGCTCCTAGAGTCTGGATATGTCATTCAGAGTCTTTATTTTGCAATTTCTTTATACAATACCAACAACGCTACCTACCCTGTCTATCTTACACAGTTATTAAGAAGATAAATCATGAAAGCACTTTTAAAGTTCCAAATTGTTAAACAGAAATGTACAGCAGTTGATTTCAGTGAACTCAATGAAAATTTACTATAGAAAATATGTGCATCTATTTTCCTTCTACAAGAAAGAACAATATGATACTTGGCCTACATGGCCCAAATACCAGAAAGAACTCTATTTTGCCAAAAAGACAAATTTGCATAGGAATAAAATGAATATCTCCTTGTATGCACTGCCTAGTGAATTTATGCTTTAGAATAAACATGTTTAATCACAATGAAAGTAAGAATAAGGCAAAATAAACCTGTTTGAAAAAGAGTATAAGGTTTGCTACCAAAAAAGAATAAAAGTACAAAATGAACCAAAACTGAAACAAATTTTGCCTTTTGCCAGGGACTGACTGTGGTTATTAGCACATCAAATCAGGAATATTTGATTCGAAAAGTACTCACCATAGTTTGCCTTGCCAGCAGCATCCAGGCTTTGGGTATGATAATCCAGACCATTTTGCTAGTAGCAAAATCAAAGACTTGATGCTGACAAAAAAAAAAAAAAAAGCTTAAACTTCAAAATCTGAGAAGCATTATACCTCAGAGCGAATTTATAACAATGTATTCATCCCATAAATGTTGAAATTCTGTAAATATACTTCTCAAATTGAAGAATAGCACTGTTAAAGCGAAAAACCACAGACCTAAAATGGTGTCACTTGTGCTAAAGCCCATGATGCCGAACCTAGATTTAATACCTTACCCAACTGTAGTTTCGACCTTCACCAGAAATGTAATCTTTTTTTTTTTTTTTTTTGCGGTACGCGGGCCTCTCACTTGTTGTGGCCTCTTCCGTTGCGGAGCACAGGCTCCGGACGCGCAGGCTCAGCGGCCATGACTCATGGGCCCAGCCGCTCCGCGGCACGCGGGATCCTCCCGGACCGGGGCACGAACCCGTGTTCCCTGCATCTGCAGGCGGACTCTCAACCACTGCGCCACCAGGGAAGCCCCTCAGAAATGCAATCTTAATTAACCAATCTGGAATTTTCTGGGCAGCACCAGTAAGGTAATCTGTCACATGGGCCCTCTCTATCTCCCCCCAGAGGAAGAAGAGGCAATCTGCATGATAAAACGCTTGCCCTTGGGTTCCCCTGAAAAGATTTCTTGACCAAAATAACTTTGTTTTTTGTAATAGTGACTTCCTGCCTCACCCTCCTTTCTATAAATTCATTTTGTATAACCCCTCAGAGCTCGCTTCTAGTTGTTAGACGGAATGCTGCCTGATTCATAAATCATTGAATAAAGTTAATTAGAACTTCAAATTTATTCAGTAGAATTTTGTTTTTTAACATCACTAATAGCTGTCCAGGAATAAATTTGATTTATAGTTAGGGAGCTTTAAAAAGACATCCATTTCTACCCAAATTTACACCCAGTAAATTATTTCTTAGTTTCTCATATAGGCTAAATATAATAAAAGTCATTTTCCATAATTGAGTCCTTATATAAAGAGAATCTGAAAAAACAGAGTAGCCTTTAAATGTCTGTAAATAAAAGCCAGATCTCAGAGTATATTTAGGAAATTGAGAAAAAGGAAGAAGCTAAAATTTTTTGATCATTTGCTATGTGCCTGGCGCACTGCTTTGGATTTGGCAAACATTTCATCATTTCATTTAACCCTACCCCACGCCCACCCCCCAAAAAACAAAAACAAAAAAAACTCTACAATCAACAAAGATCAGTAGTTGCCAAGGTTATGGTTAGATGGAGGGATGAATAGGCAGAGCACAGAGGATTTTTAGGGCAATGAAAACACCCCATGTGATGCTACAGTAATAGATATATGTCATTACACATTTGTCCGATACCATAGATTGTATAACACCAAGAGCAAACCCTAAGGTAACCTATTGTCGACCAAGAAGAAACACAGAAGGCTACAAATAAGAAAAGAGTTTACTGTGGGGTCTTAGGAATTCCACTTTGGGAGACACAAATTCTGGTAAAACCAAAAGAGTGTTCCAGGGAAGAGAAAGAGCACTTTGTAAAAATAAGTATGAAACATATTAGAACTTACAAGATTCAGCAAAACCAATGTTTTACTCTGTGAAAATTCACAGCCTTAATATATTTGTATTACTAAAAATGAAAATATTAATATGATAGTGGATATCCCCATCTTAGTAGAAATATTTTTGAAGTTTTACCATTAAACTCCTGATTTGGTATATGTTTGTTCTGTTTCACTTCCATCACAGCTGGATGTACTGCAATACAATTCTAACCCTAAGTACCAGGAGTTAGCTTCAGACCCCACAAGTTTAAGGGCTTAACCCTTCTCAGGACTGTGCTTGCATCAGATGCCAGCTGCATTTTAGGGGGTTGCCAGGCAACCTGGACTTCCAACTAACTGACTGTAAGTTGGAGGGCTCCCATAACCCCCTCAGCTTTGATAATTCACTAGAATGACTCACAGAATTCAGGAGAGTTCTGTACTTAGAATTACAGCTTTGTTACAAAGGATACTCATAGGGTGAAGTACTGGAAGGGAATGCAGAGTCCCCATGCCACCTCCACATGGAGTCAGGGCATGTCACCCTCCAGGTACACTAATGTACTCTCCAGTCAGGAAGTTCCGCAGAGCTTCTAATCAGGGTTTCATAACTTAGGCATGAATGATTAAGTCATTGACCATGTGATTGAACTCAATCTCCAGCCCCTCTCTGCTTCCTGCATCGTCAGGCTACCTCAAAGTCCCCAACCCTTTAATCATGTGCTTGGTCTTTTGCGGACCAGACCCCATCCTGAAGCTACCTAGGGACCCACTGTGAGTCACTCCATTAGCATAACAAAGACACTCCTATCACTCAGGCAATTCCAAGGGTTTTTGCAGCTCTGTGCCAGGAACCTCAGACAAAAGACCAGATACGTTCCTTCTTTGTCTGTTTACTTTATTGATATACCACAATGTTTGATCATGTTAAGGAAGTTTCCCATATGAACGGATCAAGGTCACACAAGGAAAACAGGTGGCATGCTGAAATTAGGGTAATTTTATTTTAACAAAGGGACTATTTATTAAGGTGAGGCTGGAGTATCAAGGAACCTCAAAGCCTATTTCAATAAAACTGGGATTATTCCAAGGATAGAAGGGACAAGAAATGAAGCACTGTCCAGAACACAGAGGGAGAAAGTCATATAGAAAAGCCAACTTCGGGGTCGCAGGGACATTTTTCTGAGGCACACAAGTAGCTGGACGCATTGCTTCAGAGAGGAAAACAGGCACTAAATACTCTGACCTCAGTCTCTTCTCACTGCATGAGCTCCTCCTGAACCCAGCTAGACCCAGAGATTGAAACAGCCCTTTGATGGAATCCATACAGGCCAGCCTCCTGGGGCAGAGAGCAGAGTGAAGAATGATCTAGGAGGGCAAATATAATATATCCAGCACACTGTGAACAATGGGTATAGAGTTTTATATTAAAGCTATCTCAATATCCACGGACAATGATCTTTTGGATTCACATTTGGTCTATTAAATACCGTCCAAGCTGCCTAAAACTGAGCCATCCTTAGATTTCTGGAAAGAAGCCTACTTGGTAATGATGTATTGTTTTCTCATGTGCTGCTGGATGCTACTAGGTAACTTTAAGATTTTTGCATCAATATGTGTGAACAAAAAAACCTTCGCATTTTTCTTATTGTTTCTAATACCTTCTATTTGCATAAATGAGGACTCATTAAAGTGTTTCCCAAACATGAATACAAAAAATATCAAAGAGAGGGGCTTCCCTGGTGGCACAGTGGTTGAGAGTCCACCTGCTGATGCAGGGGACACGGGTTCGTGCCCCGGTCCGGGAAGATCCCACATGCCGTGGAGCGGCTGGACCCGTGAGCCATGGCTGCTGAGCCTGCGCGTCCAGAGCCTGTGCTCCGCAACGGGAGAGGCCACAACAGTGAGAGGCTCGCGTACCGCAAAAAAAAAAAAAAATTAAAAAAAAATATCAAAGAGGTGTAAACCCTAGTGTTCACTTTTAGCAATATAAAGAACCAAATCCTGGAAGCTTTTAAAACTCAGATTTTCCTTCCCCATCAACCATCCCTTTATGAGAAATGGTAAAAGGAGAGAGAGATTCTATAGGGACCACGGCTTTTTAAAATCACTCTCCTTACACCTATACACTTAATAATAAGCAACATTTAATAAGTAAATGGACAATGACATGTATTGATATAAAACCAGTTAAAATAGTGCAGCCTATTTCTCACTTAAAACCACTGCCACGTATACTTCTTCATTCTCTTTAAATGTACTTGCCCACCCTTTACTTTGGTGTATTATCAGGAATGTTAAAAAATACAACTAGCTTATAGATGAACATCAACTCTCTTAAATGTTCTGAGACTCTTCTTCCAAAAGACATGCACACACAGCAAAAGCCTAGGTGCTTATAATTCACTATAGTTCAAATGCCAGGCTATATATTCTTGGTGTTAGTCAAACACCATGGAAATATTTAATGGTAAAGATAAACCAAGCATTTCTAGCCAGTCACTTTCAACTGAGATCAATACAGTGTAACAATGATTTAAGATGCTTCTGAGTTTAACTTAAGTAATTTTCCCTTCTCTCCTCTGAGACTGTAAATCTGACTAATTGCTTCACACACTAGAACTGCTTCTTCTTGCTAAGTATAATTGCTATGTCTGGATTCTCCTACGACCCAAGTAATTTTATGGAGGGCTTGCCTACTGATCTCATTATACTTCCAACTCTGATGCATCAGGCTCCATGCTGTTATTTACCTACGTCAGTATACTTGATAAATTAAATCCAGGCCTTGTTAAATTTACCCCTTTAAGGCACAAATATCACAATTTAATATGGATTAAATTAAACCAATAGGCATTTTGCTTCCTCCACCATGGAATATACATTAGTTGATTTCACTCACCACTGAAACACCAATACCAATAATCAGGCTATTTGTGAAATAGACAATTGGGGAAAAAAGCATTCTACAATAATTTTTGAAGTGAAAAAGTAAAAATAGTCCTACCATGGCTTAATCAGCTCCTAATTATAAAAGTGTAACGCATGGCAGATAAAAAGGAACACAAGAGGATCCGAGGAGTAAAGAAGTAAAGAATAATTGCCACGCAGAGCTAACATCCAATTGTAAAGCCAGTTATTTTGATACCAAAAAAGTCTGCGCTTTTAAATTCAGCCCTAACGAAGGAAGTCTATTTTTTCACTTAGACCAGATTATTTCCATCCTGTTAAGAAAATCAATTCAATTTGATAAACTTGGGACTTCCCTGGTGGCGCAGTGGTTAAGAATCCGCCTGCCAATTCAGGGGACAGGGATTTGAGCCCTGGTCCAGGAAGCTCCCACATGCCATGGAGCAACTAAGTCAGTGCGTCACAACTACTGGGCCTGCGCTCTAGAGCCCCTGAGCCACAACTACTGAGCCCACGAGCCACAACTACTGAAGCCCGTGTGCCTAGAGCCCGTGCTCTGCAACAAGGGAATCCACTGCAATGAGAAGCCCGTGCACCGCAACGAAGAGTAGCCCCAGCTCGCCACAACTAGAGAAATGCCCGCGCGCAGCAACGAAGACCCAACACAGGCAAAAATAAATAAATAAATAAAATAAATGTTAAAAACTTTTTTGATAAACTTTTCTGTTGCTTTGTTCCTATGCTCACAGCTGGAGGGAGAGACAAGCCATTTCTTTAAAGTTTCTTAAGGTTATAACCCCCATGAAGGGCTGACCTTTTGACTGTTTTCTCTGAATAAAGCCTCCGAGCAAATTCACTTGAATCCACACTGAGGTTTCACTCACCTGGAAGAGTCTAAGAACAAGTGTCCTCATCTTTCTTACTTTATCTTTGGAACATTTCTCTGCAGAAAATGTGTTGATTTAGCTGCTGGAAAACCCTCTAGAATACGGAGTGGAAAAGGGTTATGTCAGCTCTGAGATGTGAATGTTGACTACAGCACAGCCTTTTCCAGGGGAAATTACCCCTTCAATCAATGCTTTAGGACAGAGCATGGACATTTCGTTTTTTTCTGAAAAGAATTCTTAGATGCTAACAAAAGTGGACATTTATATCTTGGGTTGGTGTCCTTTTATAGGGGAAAATAAGCAGAAGATTTTGTAAGGATTTTCATAAATATAAAAAAGTCTGTCAGAAACAGTTTCCCATTATGCACAGTAGGGAGGTTCCTTGATTGATGTGAAATCAGACAGTAAAGCACTTCATATCTATATTAATTCTCTATTAACTGAGTAACAAGTTACCCCTAAACTTAGTAACTTAAAGTAAAAAAATTTATGGATCTTACAGTTTTGGTGGCTCCGGAATTCGGGAGAGGCTCCGCTGAGTGGTCTGGCTCTGCTTCTCTCAGGAGGTTATACTGGCTGGGGCTGCAGAAATCTAACAGCTCAACTGGGGCTCAAGAATCCTCTTCTGAAACGGCTGACTCACGTGACTGGCAGCGGAGGGCTGGCTCTCACATAGCTGTTGGCAGAAACCTTTTTCTGGTTTTCGACAGGGTTACTCAGTTCCTTGCCACATGGACCACTCCTCCGGCCTGCTTTAATGTCCTTGTGACATGACAGCTGTTTTCCCCCAGAGTGAATCATCGAAGAAAGAGAGCAAAGAGAAGATCACAATGCCTTTTGTCTCAGAAGTCACACACCATCTCTTCCACCATCTTCTAGTTTATTAGAAATAAATTACCAAGTCCAGTCCAGATTCAAGGGAGTAGAGTAAAAGGAGAGAATACTTTTTTGAACATTAGACAGATTTTAAACCACTATAGTGTCCTTCTCACCTACTAATATTTTGGCAGCTAAAACAGTTATTGTACTGGTGGTGGACAGGTTTTAAGGTGGCTTCCATGACCCCACCTTCAGGTCTTCATGTCTTTGTATAATCCTCTTCCCTGAGTGTGGGCAAACCGGTGATTTGCTTCTAATCAGTCGAACGTGCGAAAGGCGATGGTAAATACATGATTACATGAGACTGTAGCACCTCTCTTGCTAGGGTCTCTCACTGCCTATTACTGGTCAAAGAAGCAAGCTGACCTGAATTTTACTGCCATAATGAAGTGAATTTTGCCATAATCTGAGTGATCCTGAAAGTAGACCGTTCTCCAGTTGAGCCTCCAGATGAGAATGAAGCCTTGGACAACACCTTAATTGCAGACTTGCCGAGGACCCAGCTAAGCCATTCCCGAACTTCTGTCCCACAGACACTTTGAGATAATGTGCGTTGCTTTAAGCCACTAGGTCTGGGGCAATTTGTTGTATAGGAAACCTAATCGAGTACAGAAGCCAGGAATCCCAAGTCTAACCTACATGTTGGTAGTGTAGAAATAAGTCACTCCACATCTCAGGGCCTCATTTTCCTCATCTGTTAAAAAAAAAAAAAAGAGAGAGAGAATAATTTTAGTAAAATCAAAGATGCTCCAACCATTTTATGTCATGAAACATTACATGAGAGGCCAATAGACAAAACAGCTAAAATAGATCTTTTCTTATCAAGTAGGAGAAGGGTCCTAAAATATCTACCCTCCCACTTTATAATCCAAGATTATATGGATTATATAATCCATATATATGAGGAACAGAGATTGAGTATTTTGGGACTGGATCACTTTTTTTTTTTTTTTTTGCAGTACAAGGGCCTCTCACTGCTGTGGCCTCTCCCGCTGCGGAGCACAGGTTCCGGACGCGCAGGCTCATTAGCCATGGCTCACGGGCCCAGCCACTCCGCGGCATGTGGGATCTTCCTGGACTGGGGCACGAACCCACATCCCCTGCATTGGCAGGTGGACTCTCAACCACTGCGCCACCAGGGAAGCCCAAGGACTGGATCACTTTTAAAGTGTCTGGATTCTTCTAGCTTAATCATGCCATGATTTTATGACAGCCTCAAAAGAGAAAGAAAAGTGGGGAGGAATTATACACACTTATTGACCAAGTGGACAAGGGAAACTCCAGGCATACAGTATAAAATTTATTTTACCACTAGATGCATAGCCCCTACCACTGCTCACCCTTTCCTGATTATGCCTATCTCTCTGAAGTATGTAGCAAACAAAAATATGGGAGTTCAATGTCATCATCTTTCATGATTTTGAGTTTCATATTCATTTAAAAACAAGTTGGGACTTTCCTGGTGGTGCAGTGGCTAAGAATCCGCCTGCCAATGCAGGGGACATGGGTTGGAGCCCTGGTCCGGGAAGATCCCACATGCCGTGGAGCAACTAAGCCCGTGAGCCACAACTACTGAGCCCACAGGCCTAGAGCCCATGCTCCACAACAAAAGAAGCCGCTGCAGTGAGAAGCCCACACACAGCAACTAGAGAAAAGCCCACGCACACAAATGAAGACCCAATGCAGCCAAATAAATAAATTAATTAAAAATAAATAAATAAAATTTTAAAAATACAAAATAAAAACAAGTAAATCAAAAATCCACCCAAACTTAGCAGGAAGACATTAGTCAGGGGTGTGTGTGTGTGTGTGTGTGTGTGTGTGTGTGTGTGTGTGTGTGTGTATTGTTTGGCAAGAGGGATTGATAGCACAGTTAACAGTCTTACTAAATCTCACCATTGGCCCCAATTTTTCACACCTCCCTGTATCTACATCCTTTGCTTAGGGAGTTTGCAATTCTTCTAAAAGGAGTTTATATTCACCTGCCCCTTACGTTTGAGCTTGGCCACGTAACTTGCTTTACCTAATGCCATATGAACAGAAGGGACAGTGTGCCAGTTCCAAGACTAGACCTTATGATAACACATCTTTTCTCTTCTTCTCTTGTGCCTCTGCCATTTCCATGTGAAAAACATGCTCTAACTAGCCAACTGTTCCAAGGGAAATGAAAGACATGTGAGCAGAGTCACCCCAGACAACCTACAGACCAGTGTTTAGAAGCAAAATTACTCAAGCTGTTCCAGCCCAAAAAAGAGCTGCTCACCTGAGCCAGCCTAAATCAGCCAAGCCTACTGACCTACAGATCTTTGCCAATAGCTGATTGCTGTTTTAAGTCATCAAGTGTTGGGGTAGTTTGTTACATAGCATTATTGGTGTATAACTCAGTATACACTGAAAAAAGTTGTTAGGGAAAAGTCTGTCTCTCTCTCATAAAGCTTCTCAAAATACACTATATACTTTCCCTTACATGTGCTAATTTAAACCTCTTAACAGCTTTACTACTGAAAGTGTCTATCTGCCTAACTGGTGACTCTATACCAGAGAAGAAAGGGTTGATAAAGTTGTTCTATAATGGAAAGATGTCAATTTTTAAAACCATGAAAGGCCAAAGAAAACATAAAATTGTTATTATAAATATATAGAATTATCAGTAAGATATTCTAAACAGCTATCTTTAATTGTACAAAAATACTGCCATCAAACAGGTTTTAAGGATATGAAGCTTGTTGTTATGATACACATTTATCATTGTCATGCTTTCTTGGTGGATTGACCCTTTTATCATTATGTAAAGTTCCTCTCTGTCTCTGGAAATTTTCTTTGCTCTGAAGTTCATTTTATCTGATATTAATATGGCCACTCCTGCTTTCTTTTGATTAATGTTTGCATGATATATATTTTCCCATTGTTTAACATTCGATTTACCTATCTCATTATATTTGAAGAGAATTTCTTGTAGACAAAATATAGTTTGATAATTTTTTACTTGCTCTGTCAAATTCTGTTTTTTAACATGTATTTAGACCATTCATATTTAGTGAAATTATTGATACATTAGGGTTTATTATTCCATTTTATTTTTTTATTTTCTGTTTATTTTCTCTCTTTTCTTTTTCCTGCCTTCCTGTGTCTTACCTGAACATATTTTAGAATTCCACGTTGATTTATCTATAGTGTTTTTTAACGTATCTGCCACATTCTTTTTAACAGCTGCATAAAAATTCCATTGTATGGGTGAAACTTAATTTAATCAGCTCCTGGTTCATTCATTCTTCACAAACATAGCCTCTCCGAATTGATCTGATATTTCTAATTCTAGACCTTTTTCAACTATGATACTCACTATATCAAGGAGTTTTATTCTAAAATAGTATTTACAGCTTATTTTTACCAATAAGAGTAGTGATATTGAAAAAGTTACCACCTCCTTGGGCCTCATTTTCTCGCGTGCAACATAACATGTACAAATACAAGTGTATTTTCTCAGGCTATATTGGTTGTAAAATCAAAATAAAATCAAAATAAAATAATACTAATACAGATTGTTTTGTCCCTGACAACAGCCTCTATAATGGGACTTCTGAAACACTCCCCACACATATTTTTCTCAGTGGCCCTGCGCATACCTCTTGTGTCCTTTAACACAGCCCTATCTACAATATTGTGATGGAACTATTTTTGTTTTGTATTTTAGCTCAAGTTTCCTGAATTGATGTGGCAGATATATCTGATGCCCATTGGGGGATCTGAAGGAGTCTTAATACTGCTAGTGCAATTTCTCCTAAAGAGATTTTTCTGTGCAATGTCATCACACTGTGTTGGAGATTTTTTGGTATTAGAAATAGAATTACTATGTTCTGGTTGAGGAATTGGATTTATGTTTTTAAGGATGTCTATGGAATGCAAAATTCAGCAGACAATTTTTTGTTACCGAGCTCACTTGAAAAGTATAGACCTCAAATGGTTTATGATTCACCAATTAATCAATTTAACTATCATAGTTTCTATATCTTAAACTATGTGTTGGATGGTCACAATTAAAATTTCCCATACCGTTGTTTTTACTCAATATAGCAGGCCTATGAGAATCAGATACATAATTGGCCAAATCAATCACTCAGCAATCATCAGCTAAGATACTTAGAAAATACTGACTCATTCAAATAGCAGTGGATTCAATGGTCCTGTATTACAGTTTGACTCTATCATCAAAAAAGCAGCAGATATATTATTACATTTCCTTTAAATTGGTGAGAAGTCAGTATTCAAACCGTTAAATAAGGTGTTAACACTCTAACTGAAAATTCTTCAGCTTTAAGGCGTTGAATTGATCCTTCTAACAGTGTAAAAGAGTTTTTCCAGGTAATTTTCTATTCCATTACCACACGTGATGCACAAGAGCACAGCTACACATCAAGTTTTGGGCGGATTTTTTTTTTTTTTTTTGCGGTCCGCGGGCCTCTCAGTGTTGTGGCCTCTCCCGTTGCGGAGCACAGGCTCCGGACGCGCAGGCTCAGCGGCCATGGCTCACGGGACCCCAGCCGCTCCGCGGCATGTGGGATCTTCCCGGACCGGGGCACGAACCCACGTCCCCTGCATTGGCAGGCGGACTCTCAACCACTGCGCCACCAGGGAAGCCCTGGGCTGACAGGTTTTTTACTGAGTATTTACAGAGACTATTATCCCAGGTTGTAAGGATCAGCACATCATGCAGATCTTTTCGAATTTATCATTATGACTTTTCCTGCAAGAGGCACAACCATTTTAACGATGAGAAAACCTGAGCAAATGGTGACCTTTCGACTCAGAGGATCAGCAGTCAAAGTCAGACTTCTTAACTAAGAACTCCATTGTGCCATGCATTGTCAAGCCTCGTCAGGTTGTCTTTACTGCTCCAGTCTGAGAGAACAAGGAATCTCCCGGAAACTTACATTTTACAGCAATTTGCATTAACATAAGGCCTGGCAGGAAGAAATAGCAGCTTTGTGGTGACATATTTTATTATTTATTGGTTTAAAACCAGTCGTACAATGTGCAGGTAACATTTCACTCTAGACATCATTCAGACTTTCTTATAATGGTTACATGTGTCAGCTCCAGGACGGAGTCAGGCAGTCTGGTTTAAAATTCTGCCTTGGTACGTTTTAGGTGTTTGAATTTAGGCAAGTTCCTTATTTATTAGACCTCAGTTTCTTCACCTGTAAAATGAGGCTAGATTTTTCATTTGTTTGTTTGAGTTCATTCATTTTGGTCCCAGTCTTTTATATTAGAAGTTTTCCTTGGAAATCTGATGACTGCTACCTGAGTTCATGTTTGTGAGGTATGTTGGGTGGGGGTGGTTACTGAGTGGTGAACTTCTAAAGGGGGTGAAAAGACAGGGAGCTGAATTTTTCATTGAGGGAAACTCTAATGTCAGCACCTGTATTGTTTCTTGGGCTTAGTTCCCTAAAAAGGAATCCTCTGATTTTCTGCCTGGGAGGGCATAAATCTGGTTCTCAGAATCTGAAGAGTGCAGTCGGTGAAGGAACACCCTGATAAGCAGTTCACCAAGTCAGACTCAGTCCCCTTCTTTTTAGGACAGGACCTTATCCCCACAATCAGCTGTGCCGACCTCTACAGAAAGTCAACTCTAGTTTTGATACCAACCCCCACATACTTGAGAAATGACTAAATAAGATAATTTGCATAAAGAAT